CCCCAAAACCCCAAAACCCCAAAACCCCAAAACCCCTTTTAAGAAAAAATTTCTGAAATAATTTGTAAAATTTCTAAGAAATAAAATTTTAAATCTTCAAATGAAATGGTTGAATAACCTTGATCATCACACCAAAACATGTGACAGGATACATAAGTCAGATATAGCCGGAAAAAGCATAAGGATGGGACTTTTAGTACTTCTGATGATTTTTACATTAACCCATGGTGCTACTCTGTCCTCTACAGGAGTTTCAATAGATCCAAATACAGTTAATGCTGATTCTACTTTAAGTTTATATTCTACACTTGCTACTATTGTTCCAGCAGGAGGAAGACTGGTTTTAACGTTGCCAAGCACAATGAGTGTTTCTACCGCGACTACATTATCATGCTTATTCACTGAACCATCTAGTTTACCAATAGCAAGTTGATCTAATGTTGGAAATGTAGTAACAATAACATTGGGAACAACTCAGTTATCGAATTCATTTTTTCAAGTCAATATTTTGAAAGTAGTGAATCCTCCTAGCACGACTCCGACGAATACCTTTATTTTTAGGACTGAAGACTCTTCAGGCACAACTCTTGACCAACAAACTACAAATATATTACTTGTGGCAACATCTGGAGCACTGAGTTCTATCACTCTAACTCCAGCAAGCCAAGTTGTAGGAGAGACTACTACACTCACTCTGTCTTTTCAGAACACTCATACCATAATGACAGGAGGAAAAATTAAGGTAACGTTTCCGAAATGGAATCCTGGAGCCCTGCTTGATAGCCAGAAGCTATCAATGATAGAAACAGGCTTTGCAATTACATCAATAACAACGAATCTGAACAGTGGAAGTCTGTCTGCAACATTTACAAATGATGTGTTAACTCTTTCTAATGCAGTAACTTCAGATATTGCTGCAGGAAGCACGATTACTTTTAGTGTAACTAATTTTAAAAATCCAATATCAACAGCTACTCATTCTGGGTTCACAGTCCAGACGACTGATTCAAGTGACGGGATAATAGATACTGGAACTGCCACAATTCGTATAACGACAGCATCAGCAGTATACAATGGGGCTTTTACAGCCTCAACCACTTCAGTTGTCCAAGAAAACTCTGTATTTAGAGTCATTTTTCAAGTCCCAGTTCCTCTAGAATCTGGATGTATAGTTGAAATTAAGTTTCCAACTGATTTTACATCCTTTTCAATCAATGAAGTTAGGGGCTACAGTCTTTTTGGAGGATCAATAGTCAAAAGCGGAGGGAGTTTCAATGCTGGAAGCAATACATACACTCTTCCAAACTCATGAACAAGCTATGTTTCAAGTGGGACTCAGGGTATTCTTGACTTTGACTCTATACAAAATCCTCAATCAATAAAAATTACAGGAAGTATCGAGATATATGTTAAGGATTCCTCACAGTATTTGATCGGACAGCTTACAACGGGGGTAACTCATACTTCTACTACAGGAACAATCACAAGTGTAAGCCTTATACCTGAAAATACTATTGTTAGTACCTCTACATCGGCCACTCTAAAGTTCTTGCCCTCTCATAACCTACTTGCTGATGAGTCTAAGATTATAATTACTTTACCGTCTGATGTTTCTGCGACAGATCAATCTACAACTACTGCTTGATCCATAACAGACCTTCAGTTTATCTCTCCTACAGTGACTTGAACAATAATTAGTAACGTGATTACACTCATTGATCCATTCAGTGTGAATTATATTCCCTCGTCTTCAGAAATTATTCAATTCAAGTTTTCTGGTATGACAATGCCTCCTTCACTAAAGCCACCTGGAAACATTGTAATTACCACAAAGATTGGCACTGGCTCGACATTTTATGATGTTGATACCATATCTACAAGCGGAAATTTTGTATCAACAGTTGGATCAATGACAGATTATAAGGCAACTCCTACCAGCTTGGTTGCATATGCTCAGACAATATATACTTTTACGTTCAAACCACAGCATAGTATCTTACAGAATGGGTATTTGACAGTGGACTTACCTTCACAAATTAGTATCCCTGATGCTGCTACCTCTGCTGCATCTTGTGCTTCAATTTCAGGATTTTTAACAACAATATCTTGTGCAGTCTCAGATAGAAAAATTACTGTATCTAATGGATTCACAAGCGGGAGCTTAGCAGCAGGGACAGCTGTAAGCTTTTCGATAAACGGAATCCTAAACCCTGTCTCTTTAAGTACTACTAGCTCATTCACATTTACTACATTTGATTCTAGTAATTATCAAATTGATGTACGAATTTCAGGAATTACAGTCACCATGACTTCTGTTGGAGAGCTTCAAAAAGCTGAAATATCAATTCCTTCACCTATAAATGGAGCAACTAATGCGTATTCATTTACTTTCAGAGCAAGCTCTCCTTTGAAAGATGGAGATAGGATGTATATCAAAGTTCCTAACACAGTAACTCCTCCTTCATCTCCAACATGTACTGGGACTACCCTATTAGCAAGCTCTCTAACATGAAATACCTTAAACAAGGAAATATTTATAACTATATCAGCTGCAAGTGGAAGCACTATTGATGCAGGACAAGATTTTGGATTTTCTATCTCAGGATTTGTCAATCCTACAAGTACGAGGCCTACTGATTCCTTAACATTTGAAGCACAAGATTCAACAGGATCATCTATTAATCGCTATACAGTATCACCAGTGACAGTAACTACAACTACAGCTGCTTCGATCACAACTGCATCAATTTCAAATGAAAATAAATTTGCTTCTCAAAGTGTGACTATAAATTTGAATTTCACAACAATCCATGAGATTCCTCAAAATGGGAAAATCATTGTGACTTATCCATCTGAAGTGTCAACCTTCAGTGCTTCCGCAACGACGCTTACTTGTAGTCTTAATATTGCTGCTAGCCCAACATGCACACATATTTCCTCAAGCAGAGCGATTGAGATCAGCAATATTCTTACTTCAACTTTCTTGGCCAGCAATACTCAAGTGAGGATGACTATCAATGAAATGAAGAATCCGAGTGCTGCAACAGCTTCTAGCTCATTTAAAATTGCCACTTATGAAGTAGCGTTAGGGAATAATTATATCATTGACCAGATCTCAACAGGTCTGACTATTGCTGCTAACTGTAATTATCCTTGCAAGACATGAGGCACAACAGATAAATCGCAGTGTTCCAGCTGACTTCCTGATAGCTCAGGCAGCACCCTTTTCCTACAGACAACTACTAGTGGGGGAGTATCCTCGACTACCTGTGTGAGTAGCTGAAATACAGACTATGTTGAAATCAGCGGTGTCTGAGAACCCTGCGAGAATAATTGAGGAGCATGTTTAGCCACAAACAGAGGTAGCTGAACACTTTGTGGAAAAACAGCTGCTAGATTTTTGGTTGGAGATAGATGCACAAATAGCTGTCCTTCAGGGACATATGGCAATACAGCAACAAATAAATGAGAAAGCTGAGTATTTCCATGTCAAACATGCACAAGCTCTACCTCTTGAGATTCATGTGCTGAGTTTGATTCTTCTGGCAATCCTTCAACTCTAATAAAATTTGAAAATAATGAATGAAAAGCATCATGTACAGCTGATACTTATGTTGATGTCAATGATGTATGCACTCCTTGTTCATCGAGCTGAAGTAAATGATCGGAAAGAATTGATATTTGTACAGAATGAGCATCACCTTTAGTGCTAGACAAGACCACAAGCACTTGTCAATCTTCTTGTCCAGCTGGAACAACAATCTATAATTCTGCTTCAAATAGTTGTGAAGTCTGAAATACAAATTGAGCTACGTGCACTGGAACTATAAATACTTGTGCAACTTGAAATAATGGGCTCTTACTTACAATTAGCAATACATGTGCTACATCTTGACTTACAAGGGACACTTTTGTAGATAGTTCCAATCATTGAGTAAAATGAACAACAGGATGTTCAAGTTGAAGTGGTACAGCGAGTTATTGAGATAAGTGAGATTATTCTTCAGGCTACTTATTTGCAAACTTTACCTGAGTTACTTCTTGACCTACAGATTTCTCGATAGACACATTAGATCCCACTAGATGTATTCTTTCAAGTCTTCAGTGTCCTTTCGGGTATAGCATAGATACTTCAGGAACTAAATGCTCACCCTCAAATGTGGTATGTCGTCCTGGTTATAAAGTAAATTCTGAAAAGACAAAGTGTATTCCTGAGCCAGGATCAACAATCCCATTTCCTTTCTTTTTGTTGTTTGGTCTGTTCTTAATTATCACTTTAATGGGCTCTTGCATTCACAGGCCTCAGATGATCACTACATGATTGATAAAATTCATAGCAGTAATAGAAATGCCATATCTGGGAGTTCAAGTTTGGTCAGCTATTTATATTTCCTCATGGGGCATTGTGACAGGAACAGTGATTGCTATGATAATGCTTGTATTAGGCAACATTCTTTTCTATATAGTCTTCAAAAGAGTCGTTGTTAAAGACAATGCCTACAAGCATTGGAAAGATAAATACAAATGAAGCAACCAGACAGTATCATTTATAAGCCTCATTATCAATTTCAAATTCTTTCGATGCTTCTATTCAAAATTCTATGGGATATCTATCTTTAATGCTCCGTTTGAGAGGTCAACGCTATTCTTCAGGCCATTCGTAGTAGTTTCAGTGATATATCTGCTACTTGTACTAATCCCAGTCATTATTGTGGATATAGTCATCTTTTACTATGTAGAATGGGGCTACCAGCTTCTCATAGTCGGCATCGAGAGTTTCACATTTTCTATACTCGTGATTCTTCTTTCATTCATAGAGTTTTTCAAAATTAAAAGCAAAGTCTTCAAAGATGATGATGAAGACTATCTGTCTATCAACAAGAAAATGTTTGACAATGCATACACTGTTGCTGGTGGTGCAATTCCCAATGGATTAGCAGAGCCTAATATTACTCAGCAAAGAGTTAAAATTCCTGCTGGACTTGAAGAATCGAGTGCTTCCCAGATCTACAACAGTTTTTCTTATAACAATGAAAAGTACTTGGATAAATCAGGTATTTCCTCTATAGAAGTCTTTAGCAAGTTCGATAATAAGAGGGAGTTCTTGTCTGATGCTCAGAGACAAAATAGGTTAAACCTGCACAATATCGTCAACCAGTTAGATAAGAGGAATCCTATCTTTGAGTCCTCTTATATCAACGTAATGGACTTAAAAGATAACAAAATTTTTAAGAAGAGGAAAGACTACGACCCAAACTTGATGCTTAAAGATGAGGAAAATTTTGACGAATTTGATCGAAAATTCTTACGCAGAAGTGTTAGCTTTGAAGACTTCAGAGAGCATGATGACACCTTTGCTCCTAACAAAAAAGAGCTCATTGAAGAGAAATGTATTTCATACCCACCTTCTCCTCGAGAAATGGAGAGGATAGACCATTACCTCTTTGGAGATGGAATCGAATTTGCTAGAGATAAGCTCAAGGCAGAATATGCATATAATAACCTCTATGCTGACAAAGAGGGAGAAGAATTTGACCCCGAGGATGAATTTGGCAAAATCAGGGCAAGGAAAGTCCAAACTTATGGGACTGAGGTTCATACTATCAAGAACCAAAATTCGAAAGAAGACTTTGATGATGTAGAAATTGACCCTGACCTTGTAAATAGTATCCTCGATGGAGTCCTAGAGAATCTCTCTGATGGAGATGATGACCAAGACAACCAACTTGTAAGAAGAACCAAAAGACAAAGGATGGCTCTTGCACAAAAACGAAAAATGGAAATACCTGACTTTGCAATCGAAGATATTATGGGAGATTTTGATATTGATGACCAAGGCAATTATATAATCGTTAGGAATGAAGAAACAGACAAATTAGAAGATAAAAATGAACAAAGAGTTAACAAAAGAGGCTACCTTATAGACGAAGATGGCAATGTTATTGATAAACAAAGAAATCTCATATTCAAGCAAAGAGAACTGGATAGTGATGATGAAATACCTCCACCTTACTCTTTTGAAAAACGTAAAAATCAACTTTTGAATACAAAGAAAGATAAAATAGAAGAATATGATCTTGCTGATTTATCTCAAGAGGACGATGACCATATATGGATGGATCCAAAAGGAAAAGATCTTGCGGATGCATTATCAGGAGATGAAACTCCAGTAGAAAGTTTGATGGGAGAAACGCCTGGTTACCAACCCAGAAATATCCAAAAACTCACAAATTCAATAGATCCTAAAAATTCGACTATCCATGAAGAAAACATTAATTTGGATATAGAAAGTCAGAAGGAAACTCTTAAATTAGAGTCTCCTCAAATGCCAAATTCGAAGTCCTCAAGGAAAACTAAAAGATTAATCAGTGCTCGTATTAAAGGAATTACTGAAAACCCAAGGCCTGGGACTACCAACAACACATATATCCGAGATGTTCCGTTTTATATGCCTAGCACCATAAATGTAGAGCCCATTAAAATGACTCCAAAGAGGAGGCTCAGAAAGAAACCTTTTGTTGATGATTCTCTTAAGAGAATCTACGGAAATATTGACCCGTTCCTTTACAGAGACGATGTCAAAAAGTCCTCAGTGAAAGTAGATCGAGTAACTGACTTAAGAATGAGAAAGAGGCTACTTGACCCATTCAAACTTGCTGAATCTGCTGAACTTAATGGGAAACTAGACTCTATTAAGCTAGATGATGAGACAGAATCAAATGTAGATAGGTATTCTCGTCTTGAAAGAGTATCTTCCAAGTACCAAGAGCGAACCATGTTCGGTCTTCCATTCGGAGAACGAAGATAAATAATCTTGAAGGTATTTATAGACTTGAGGACAAACCAGGAAAAAACTTATCTTCTTAAAATATTCAATTTACCTAAAATCTCAAGGGGTTTTGGGGTTTTGGGGTTTTGGGGTTTTGGGGTTTTGGGG